AAAAAATTATTTCTAAATTATTTTCCAATCGTAAATAGTGATATTTTTCTATGACAAGTTAAGGCAAGAAGATAGAGAATTGAAAAGTTTTTCCACTTTACTACATTTTTTTAGTTAGAGTTTTAAACTCGTTCAAATTAAATAAAAAATAAAAAATTTCAGTAGGTCGCACATGCCATGCCCTTGATTGGCAAATATTCAATTAAATAAAAAAATAAAAAATTTTAGTTGGTGGCGCATGTCATGCCCTTATCGGCAAATATCCAATTAACTTCTTCTGCCTTGCGTTTGGTGTAACGTCAGAAGAATACCATCCCACAAAAGAATTGTCATTTAAAAAAAAAAAAAAAGGAGAAGGAGGGAATTAATGTCATCACCAAAAATCGAAAGCTCTGTTGACTCCCCAATTTTCTCTTCTGTATGAAAAAACAGTTACTGCTTTTGTCAAAATAAATCTTGAAATAGATATATTTAAAGTGGAGCCCTTTTCCACTCACTTGGAATTAATGTCAATTACCAACATGTAATGGCGTCTTAATTTACAATTATTTTTTTAATTTACAATTATTTTTTGAATTTATTGTATAACTAATTTTTTTTGTACCAATACAATATTCAAAAATCATATTAGATTTTAACTAATTTTGAGTAAAATTACATTGAACTCTATAAAAAAAAAAACTATCCTAACATTTGTTTCTCTATTTATAAAATTCAAATTTAAAATTTTTCTTAAGGGAATCTAAATTCTTTTCACTCAAATAATAAGTCATCAATAATTTATTGTATAACTAATGAGATTGAAGAAAATCAAGTTATATTAACGATTAAAATGTCATAAGTAACAATAAAATGACTAAAATACATTTAATTAATCAATCTACCAAAAAATTTTATTAAAAATATTTAAATAATTTCACATAGAATCATGAAATTTAAGGTATTAGAACATTCTAATTTGTACCTAATTTTCTCATAACTAATACTTTTTTTATATATAAATTTAGTTGTTTACATTTCTTTTTTATTTTTATTTAAAAAAATAATTACAACATATTATAAATAAAAAAATTTATTTAAGTAATGATTAATTAGGAAAAAGTTTGAAGGTTCACCAGGGAGGAAGAACTTGAAAAGAGAGAATATGAACGCTTTCGATGTATAACTTGAACACCCCTAATATTTAAGGGACCATGACAGCTATGTATATATTCCGTATCACCTTTATCAGAGGCATCATCCATGCATGGTTGGCACAGAAGTATTCAGGTTTCAAACTTTCAAAAGATAAGAATAGAAGCATCACATTTTCTCCACTTTAATAAGTGGCCCCTCACGTAATCATCATAATATAAGGACAAAGAACCCACCACTAATATGCTACTCGCCACCTACCTACCTTGATCATTTTTTAAGATGTATTTTCTTTTATGGATGACAGGTTGACAGTAATATTAAAACCATATATATTTTGATGGTTAAAGTAAAGACCAAGTTATTGAGAAGTTCCAAAGTTGGATTTCCCTATCCCACAACATGGTTGACTGTGAAGACTCAGCGTCTTTGGATCTCTATATACTGCCTAATAGATATGAGGATTCAGATGTAAAATCTCCCAAAACCTAATCCTCATTAGCTCCTTGACATTTCTTGATTTTCTTTAGAATATCTAGAAACTCAATACACAATCATACATACAAGGTTTTTATTTGCATGCCTAATAAAGTTGTATAAAGCAATCAACATCCTCCTGTAGAACCCTTCAAAATTTTATTAGGAAATTATAATTTAACTATTTGTGGTTTAAAATTAACACACATAAAAACTTACATACATACCCATAAAGATTTGATGTTTTAAAACGTGCATATAAATATTTAAGGTTTGTACTAAAGTGTAAATAATTACTTCATATTTCTTAAAATGTCTTGAAAGCCCTTAGGGAATGAAAAGAAAAAAAAATAAGGGCATTTATAATACTTCATGTAATCTCAAGTGTACATGCAGCCAGCTCAAACCACATATCTTATATACACATTTTAAAATCTCATATCTTGATATGTATCAACACCAATCCATAAGTAGTTAAATTGTAAATTTTCCAAGTGTTATATATATATATATCAGGCAGTGAAGATTAAGATCCATCTCTTTTGGATGAGGGACTGTGCACCTTACAATTTAAACTCCAATCAAGCTCAAGTGCAAGCCGTCAGAGGTTTAAACAAAAGAATTTTGCATAGAGTCTCAAATTCACTTGGAACCGAACCACTAATGATGTGCACCCAGTAATTTCCACCACATGCAGCCAACTATGCAAACTAATATTTAATGAAGCAGTTCATATAAATCCAGCAAGCTGAGGACAAATAAGACCTTGATCAAGGAAAAACGAACAAACGAACAAAGGGCACATAGATCGGTACCAACTTAACACGGTGGTCACTTGGCTTTAAATATAAGAGTAAAGGGAAATGGTTATGTTATGGCCACCGTACCACAACTTTTGGTAAGGTTTAAAAA